GCTTCCTATTTCGACAGTATTCCATTGGCATCGGGGAGGAGGTGATGGCGTTCTTCTTTTCTGAAATGACGCTCATCCCGTCTTTTGGATTGAGCACTGTGACATTGCACATATATCGGGCCACAGTGGCGGCGGGCAACTAGTTGCCGAGTCCCGGAAGGTACGGGATATCGTACCCGTGTTTGACCTCGTCGGATGTGTCGGCATCGCAGAGTCTTCGAGCCATCGTCGTCGACTCTTTGTTTTCCGCAGGCAGCTTTGAGGTGGGGCATCTCGGGTTGCTTGTAATAAGGCCCATATTAAAAGATGCTCCAGCAGAACAAATTTGTTCTCCGGCTATTTCCATATGCCGTGTTTGAGATCAGCTCGGAATACTCGGCAGGGTATGTGATCCACCAGGGGGACCGAAATGCATTTGAGATTATTGTTAGCTTTGTAGGAAAAGCAATAGCAATATCCGGCGACAAAGGAATTCAGATCATTGTTGCACAGATGGAGTGGCCGGAAGACAAGAGAGACTTACGGAGAGGCAAGAAGCTGGCATCTGGACAAAGTCTCTCTTGTCTTCCGGCCACTTCATCTGTGCAACAATGATCCGAATTCCTTTGTCGTCGGATATTGCTATTGCTTTTCCTACAAAGCTAACAATAGTCTCAAATGCATTTCGGTCCCCCTGGTGGATCACATACCCTGCCGAGTATTCCAAGCTGATCTCAAACACGGCATATGGAAATAGCCGGAGAACAAAAGGCTTGTTCTGCTGGAGCATCTCTAATATGGGCCTTATTACAAGCAACCGAGATGCCCCACCTCAAAGCTGCCTGCGGAAAACAAAGAGTCGACGACGATGGCTCGAAGACTCTGCGATGCCGACACATCCGACAAGGTCAAACACGGGTACGATACCCCGTACCTTCCGGGATTCGGCAACTAGTTGCCCGCCACCACTGTGGCCCGATATATATGTGCAATGTCACAGTGCTCAATCCAAAGGACGGGATGAGCGTCATTTCAGAAAAGAAGAACGCTCTCACCTCCCCGATGCCAATGGAATATTGTCGAAATAGGAAGCTGTGGCCGGGTGCGGTGCCGGCGGGGAGAACAGAGGCGGCGCC